AAAAATAATTTTAATTTTAAAAATTAAAAAAAAATATCTATTTATTTACTAATGCTATATTTATTATTTTAATAATTAACTACCCAGTAGGTAAATATTAAAATAATAAATGTAGCATTATAAACAGTAAATCTCCCTCAAACTCAATTTACTAATATTGTTCCTAAATAAGGAATAGCAGATAAAAGATTAGTAGGTAATAACTATTGCTCCTCAAAATTATATTTGACCTCAAGGTAAAACATATCCTAAAATTCAGAAGCTAAATAAAATAATAATACCTACTATTCAAGTATATTTTCAATATGTAAGTAAATAAAAATAACAAAAATGAAGCACCATTAGCATGTAAAGTTCGAATCCATAATTAATATTTCGACAAATATTATAATTTACACTATAAAAAGCTAATTCAATATTAGCAGTATAGTATATAGTTAAAATTAATCAAAATAGTCTTTTTTATTAATTAGATAATATATTAGAATACATAATTCTAATATAATGCAACTAATATATCGAATAAAGAAAATTAAAATACATTTATCATTGTACGCCGTGTCTATTTCCATAGAATAGTTCATTGACATCGAAAAAATAATACTACGTTCGTAGCAGTAGGTGGCGTCTTTTGGCGATTTCTTACGCGATATATTGTAGCGAGCTTCGACAGACCAAACGCTCAAGGTCGTTCGCTGGAGGTAGCGCCTTAAATCAATTATCTGCAACAAATGTGCTTGCTAAGATATAACTTAAAACCAAAAGTTTGACTTGACTTCATGATAGTGTAACTTGTTGTACCACCAATCAATCTGTTTAGTAATATTGGTGTGAAACTCTCCATACAATTAGATAGGACATGTAAAGAAGTAAGAGAAGAACTTAGAACCAAAAGTTTGACTTGACTTCATGATAGTGTAACTTGTTAATATTATGGGATTTAAACTTGCACCATTTAATGCGGTAAACGGTCGCCTGACTTTACCGCTAAATTCCCCGTTGACATATTGTTAAACAGCTGTTCCCTTGCAATTTATAATATTACTGCCCCGCTCCTTTATAAAAATTATGTTATTATTATGTTCCCAGAGTTAAATTTTTATTTTTATTTTAACTAATATCATGTCATTTTGTGCATTCAATTATTTTGTGCATTCAATTACGAAGAAAAACCTTTTAAAATCGATACTGCTTACCTCCTATAACATACGGCGTGATAATATGTAGCTTAAAGCCTTCCTTGGTTTACAAAGAACATGCTTTTTTGAACAACTTTGCTGAATTTCAATTCAATCTATCCTGTAGTTTTGGCGTGAAGCTGTACCATACACACAGACAAACAGACAAAAATTCTAAAAGTCACTTTTTGTCATCAGTTACGTTTTTCTAACAAAAGCCACTTATTTTTTCTCGAAAATACACAATGTACAGTTTTTCTTTCGTTACTGTTTTATTATATGTATAGATTGAGGCACAGCACAATATTTAATAGATGGATATAGAGAATAGATAGCAAGTAGATCCGCGAACGACGGGCACATTTGAGTAAATGTTTTGATTTCCTAAGTGCGCGTCGGGTCGCTTGCACGAAGATGGAAATCGTGACGTCATCAACGATGTCGCTCTCGGCCCGCGGCTTAGACCGAAAATGTTAACTTTGCGCCTTTATATCTCGCTCAGTTTGGAAGATAGAAAAAAAATTAAAAAAAAAACAGTTATTCTCGTAATTTTCTTGTAGAATTTTTTGGCATATAAAACAAAAAATGGTTATCTTTTCCATTCCGTGACGTGCAACATGCCGCGATGCTTCGGTCTATTCGTGTTGAAATAAAGGAATATCAGTGCAAAGATCATTAAAATAACGTCGGAAATCTTTTTTCCACAAAAAAATCTTTAGACACGCCGCGCTACGCTGTACCGTCCGTGAGCGCAGGCCCTTAGAGACTTCGAAGCGATGGTGCAATTTCTCACTATATATTCGTAATTGTACATATTGCATCATTGATTTGTAAAACGTCGACATTAAATAAAAGGTATGAACTATAAAGTGTGGTGTAATATAAAGTTACATGTATACTTTATAATTCTAATAATAAAATCTGTCTGTTATTACAATAAAAAAATATCTCTTCTTTTATATTTTCTTCTTTTTTATTTTGTTCAATTTATTTATATACCTCTATTTATTACTCACAAACATATGCACAAATTTCATTATTCTACTCAATTATGTGCAACCTAAATGTTAATGGTAAATAGTGAAATATATATCTACCATTGTAAATAATATTTAACTGTTGTCTCTCTTAGCTACTTAGTACGTCATTGTCTACTTTTTCGTTTTTTACATGGTTTAGGCATCAGTTTTTCATCTATCGATTTTGTGGTACCCTGGTGACATTAAAACAGGCGCTTGATTTTATTTTCACACGCAAATACGTGATTTGGTTGTTTAATTTTTTGTCCAAAAATAATTTTTGATGTTTATTAACCTTCTTTCTCAATACTGACACTTCACATATTTAGATATTGCTGCAAAATACAAAAAAAGGTTTCAGTCGCGTTGTTCGCTTACTTTATTACTCGCGACACGATTTGTAATATATTATGTGAATTCGTGAATGAGTAAGTGAGGTGGTTCAATGTTGAAATTCGAGTAACTCTTTTAATTTCCCGTCATGAGGAACTCAAACGAGGTAACTCATGATTGGACTTTTTGGACTTTCGATACGCTTCGCTGTAACTGTAAGGTTAAGCCGGTGTGTACAAAAAAGTTCATTCTGTATGATTGTCTTTCTAACAGTGAGTAACAAAGAGACGTTATACAAGTTGGCTCTTTAATTTAAAGCATTGCTCTGTGTATGAGAACAAACCTGGAGCAATGAGGCAAATATAATGTACACAGTAATTGTACGATGTTTGCATTTAATTAGAAGGGTCGCTCATAAGAGTATTGTCGACTACTACTTGTCTTCTTGATGTTAAAATTATTTGTGTTTTTGAATTCCTTTCTTGGTTTCTTTAGTTAGGTTTTTTGCAAACTTCAAAAATTGAGGAGGTTCACAATTCAAATGTAAGTTTTTGTGATGTAACTGAGACCCGATTTTCAAGATTATCTATTTATTAAATACTTCAGGGGTGGCAAAAATAAAAACTTGTTTTTAGTTATTTGAAGTAAACTTTAACCTTTTGTTAAAAGTTATAATTATTATATCCTCGTTTTGTTTTAAATTAAACAGCTGATTGTTTAAGTTTTCACTCTCAAAACGTCAATTAAAATAAGAAATTATTTAAATATAGTTTTATTTATTTTATGGGAAATACAAAAAAATGCATTTACTGTATAAAATTACTAACAATTTTTTTAAATGTTTCATTTGACTATTTTTTTTGCACATCTTATGCAACGAATTCAAAGTTACAAAATGTACTTGCACTTTCGGTTTGACAGTTCTATTCTTACAGAGTGCGCATAATTATTTTAATTAACATTATTGAGAATAATAAATCAAAACAGAAATTATGTCCTTTTCCTCGCGGGATTGTGCCAAGAACCTTGGGTTCCTTGCTTCGCTAAATGAAAAAGCTATCCTTTTTAAAAAATTGAATAAGGGTGACAGACGAGCATACATTCCACCTGATGGTAAGTGGATGCTGTGACTTATAGGCATTTACATAAATCCTCTAAGAAATCGTGGTCCTTCCTGGTCGAGCCGAACCATTCGTGCTACAACCATAATATAGTTGCAGCATGTCTCTACCACGTATGGTATTTATCCTCTAATAAAGAAAAGAATCCCTTTATGTTATTAGATGGTGTTAAGGCCTGGTGGCTTTATAGCTATGCTTTCGGTTTCGGGGCTACGGACATGGGTTCGATTAAGTACAAGTATGCTTGCAAATAATTGTTCTAGACATAAATAATTGACCATGCGCAATTTATATACGTAAAACACTTCCACGATATATATAAGAAATTCTAAATTAGTGTAGGGTAAAATCTGAGGGCAATGTCATATTTTTCGGACGAAAAAGATAACGCAATTTATTAAGAACTTAAAGAAAAAACCCTACTTCTTTATGAAAGCCGGTAACGCACCTGCAATTCCTTTGGTGTTGTTGAGTTCATGGACGACAGTGATCAATAACCATCGGGTAGTTTTTCTGGCTTTTTAAATAGTCGTCTCTTGCGGCAACCAAGGGATAAAATGGGGTGATAGATCTCTTATAAAGCCCCCGTACTCCCGAATGGTGATTCGGCTACTGTTACTCAATTTGCTAAATTACAACTACGTTTACGTTATAAGGAAAGATAAAAATAATTTACTTAAATAGTCTCACTGAACACATAAAATAAGTTCATCTCAATAAAAGCATATCTTTAGTTCTTTCTTAATCTTATCTTTAAATCTATAAAATTATTTTCAGCTTTTGTATTGTAGGTACTTGTTTTTATTTTATTTTTGTATGATCATTATTCTTTTTTATTTTGATAACATATCATAAACACTCACGCCTGTCACCCAGAGGGGTAGGCAGAGACTACAGACTTCAATTTAGCACGATCCTGACACACCTCTCTCGCCTCCTTCACGTCCATATACCTACGCATACATGCTCGTCGGTTAAGGATACTCCTAATTCAACCCGTTTTCAAATAATCGTTAATTTGGTCGATAAATTTTCGCCTAGGACATCCCTTTCCAACTCTGCCATTCACTTCTGCAACATAAATTTTCTTTGTCACTCTTTCCTCATTCATTCTTTCCACATGACCAAACCATCGAAGCATTCATTTCTTAATCCTGGTCACAACATCATCTTGCAAACCCCACTCTTCTCTTATCACACAATTCCTCACCATGTCATTCAAATTCAGCCCTAACCTACTCCTTAACGACCGCATTCCTTATATTATTCTATTATTTTAATTTTGATAAATAAATAGAATTATCTATTCTTTGTAATTTAAGTTTCACAGTAAAATTCAAAATGGCCACCTCGTCTATGGCGTCCCGTTCGTGCGGGGCCGCGCGCAGCAAGCTGGCCAGCCGCGCCGCGGCGCCCCGCGCCGCCGCCTCCAGCAGCGCGCCACCCACACCCATGCGTTTTCACACCATCACTGTTGACAACCATTCATACAATAAGTAAGAAAGAAAGGAAGGAAGAAAAAAGAAACAAACATTTATTTGAACACACAACTTTAAGAAACATAGAAATTCGTAGTACAAATTTCTAATAAATCACTGGTTTTAATTTGGGACCTTAATTGACTCACGAACAACCAGAGATTAATGTAAAAAAGTACTTAAACTAATAAAAAACTAAAGTAATAATGATTATTTTGCTAGACCCAGAAACAATATTCTAATGCCGGCTCGTCGTCTCTCGTCTCGTCGCCTCGCGTACCTCACGTCGTATTGAGGCTCGATACGAGAACACACCATGTACACACTTGTTGTATCATTTGAACTCCGTATGCCCGCTGAGATGGACATAGATGAAACTGTTGCTGCGTTTTGCCTTTGTGCTATTAGTCATTATAACTTTTAACACATTTACCTTAAAAATAAAATTAATAAGCCACGGCTAAGAAGAAGATGGTGGATGGTTTCCATTTACCGTAAATGAACCACGTACGGTGAATATAACATAGTAAGTCTCTCATTTTCATCACGAGACTCACGAGACCCTTTGACTCGAGCGCAAAAAACCGACACGCTTCGCGCACGAGGGCCACGTACACGCTCGTACTCGGCCTGTCTCGTGGTGTCTCGACGAGCGTGTACAGCCGGCATAATATGTCTAGGCTGTACAATCAAAGTCTTTGCCTTGCATTCTATTTGTAGTTTTAAGACGATTATAGGTCAATTAGTTTGTTGGTAAATCAAAAAGTTCATTGATAAGTCAAATGGTTCGTTGGTTAGTCAAATGGTTGGTTGATAAAAGTAAAATAGCTGGGTTGTTAATCGGAGTATTATTTTTTTAAGTTATTATTAGCAGGACGCTATTGCCCTTCTTCTGGTTTATTTCCCCTCTGTCGAGTTTAAAAACATCCACGAATAAACGATGTAGGGTAGTGGATATTCATTCATACGAGTACACTGCCACAAGATGGTAAGTCTCTCAGAAATGAGAGGAGGCGTGTGCCTTTTAGGGCTAATGTTTTAATTAACTGTGAGCTCCAAATCCCTATTACCACTTTTTATTTTTCAAATTTGAATATTTCACGAACAAATTAATCAATTTTGACGAACTTTACGGCGTTTGACGCTGTTTTTTAAGCACTCATAGTTAATTTATCATATCATAAACGATTCAAGAAAAAAAATTTGAAGTTATTTGAAAATAATAACTTTTAAAGTTTTTCGAAATTTTTCGTTAACCATTTCTCTTTAACGCATCCACCGATTGTTATGCAGTTTGTAGCAATCGACGACTATTTTTGAGTTTAGGAGTTGATTAGATTTTGGAATTAATCGTTACATCTGTTTGAAAGTTATTTCAAAAAACATTTTATTGAAAATTCTACTGGCCCGAATGGGTTTAAATGGTATAGAAGCGCCACCAAGTTCGTTCAAATCGGGCAAGCCATTTAAAAGTTATGAGGGAGGGTTACATATATCACACATACAGACATAGTGACGTCTTCGTAGGAATAGTCAGAATAGCTTCCTAGGACCTCAAAACGTCGAGATCTGATGAAAACTCGATTTTCGAAAACGGGTAAAACCAATAGCTTCCCGATTGTTTGAAAATCATTAATTTTTATAGCGGGAAGTTAAAAATCGGTATAAACAATAAAGCACCGAGTTGCCCCATCCATCGCAACATGCATTTATGTCAGCAGTAGAACAATTTGAAGAGAATCTCATAATAAAATTTAGGTGGAATAGTTTTCGGTACACATGCACCGATTCCTCCTGGACTATATATTAATATATAAATATTTATAAGTATTTAATTTGTCAAGAACATCAAATAACGTCATTATTCACCAATGAGTTTAATATTCTGATTAAAGTTATTCAATGGCGGGGAAGATCACAACAACATTGTTTGACTTCATGTTGGTTCACGTTTTTGCAATGTTGGCTGCACCGTGTGAATTTACGCTGGTTACGCATGATTGCAACTTATGGGTGTATAACGGCGGGAATGGTTAAGCAGGCATGAAATATATGCGATTATGTCTGTGAACAAGGTCTTACTGCAACAATACATTAATACTATTACATGAGGACGTCGAGAATTTCAGTCAGAGGTCGGTGGGATGCACTGACCGGCCCCAAAATTTTACATGTAGTTTTTTTATCATAGAACAGTTAAAAGTCGACTTATGCCTTTTTTCTGTATTTAATAAACATTTCGTTATGACTTATGACCCACTTCACATTTCAAGGAGAGCGCGGTAAAACTATTCAGTAAAATTACTTTATCGACAACTTACGAAGGTGGACAAGACTACAAAATGACGATGAGCAATAAAAAATCTGTCACACTGTTAAAGGGTGATTTAGCAAAATGGCTGACTTTATGCATATAATATAATCATTACATAATGAATGAAGTGCGTGGTAATTGACAACGAAGTGGTGGAATGTGTTAGCGTCTGATTGTCTGATAATGGAAGGGAGAAAGAAGAATCACATAGGCATAGACATAGGTCTATGTATTTACATGGAGGACATTCATAGTATCAGACTTTTTGCAACTTTGATGATATAAATGTATACACATGGAATAAAACTAATTTTACGGATTTTAACGCGTTTAATTTAATTTTTTTTATTCCCGACGTTTGGGGCACTTTCTAGCGCCCATGATCACGGAGGAAACTGAGCTGTTTTACGTCCCGATGCCATAGTTAACGAAGGCTATCTTCAACTTTTAAATACTTATTTTTGATCCAATCTACGCAGAATGAGCTTATAGTAGGTATCTTGAATTTTTGCAGTAGGGTGCTTGGGTTTGGATTTAATGTTATTAATTATGGGATACCAGGCAGATGGTAGCACCCAGCCAATTTGTCTATTGAAATTAGAATGTTTTTTTTCGGTGTTCTTTTGCGAGGATTTGTGGTCTATCAAATCTAATATAATGGTTGGGACGATCCTGAACATGTTGACATACTGCAGACTTCCCGGATATTCCATGTGTAGTATTCGCGTAAGTATAAGAATATGTTAAATGTATACACAACTAAAATAAAAAAAACTATTAAAGATGTTAAAACTAATTAGCAAAATTCCGCGCAAAAAAATGAAATTATGTATCTTATCTAATTAGAAGATCACCCGCCAGCCCTCCTCAACAGAGTTCCACTATCACCGTCACCACTAATCCCAACACCATTACACTAGAATAGGTACACCACCGTTTATAATACGGTACGCGTTTCGCCTCTAAACGAGGCATTATAAAGAGAAATATAACCTAATCGGTCATCGCAAAATGAGCTTTAGTGAAGATAGTGATAGTGCACACACACATTTGTGGGACGCAATTGAGGAAGGGAGGCGCTCTTCAAACTAGGTAAGACACATCATTTTGATGATTCACTCAGATCTTAGCTAATAAATTTTGACATCTTTAATATAATGGATTGCCGACAAATAAAGCCTGATTTATTAATTATCATAAAATGGAAATTATTAAACAGCCCGTAAATTACTTTAAACTGGCTTAGTTTCTTTAATAAGCAATCCATATAAAAGTGTTCCATGCAATATTTTTATTCAATATAGATTAAAATAATATTTATTGGAAGAAAATGTTTTTACCACCGTTTCGGAAAAAATCTCTATTCCGGGAAGAACCAGCAAGAAAACCAGCGGCACATATTTTTACGCATTCATTTACAATATAATATTTTGTACAATTAAATATTCACCTTATTCCCAGGGGTTATTATCAATCATGTACTCATATGTATTTTTATTTTATTTATTTTTTATAGAAGACGAGGCAAACGAGCATACCTCACTTGATGTTAAGTGAAATGAAATACAGGTTCCGCTCTCTCACAATGGTGAATTATTATTTATTAGTAAAGTAAATGTTTAGTTTAATTAACACGCTCTCATTTGAGCCGTTGTGATTAGAAATAAACGATTATTTTTATTAAAAACTCTCATTTAACAAAAAAACGCTTTTTCTTAAACAGGTCTGCATATTTTATGTTTCAAAAGCATATTCATTAACCCTTGAAGGGATTACTGACTCTAACTACGTTATTCGTAAAACTAAAATATACACAAATCATAGAGAATTTAGGTTTATTGGTAAGGAAAACTTTATAATTTTAAATTTATTAAACTACATAATTACCTTAGTTATAAGAAATTAATCAACGGTTAGAAACCAATGCTGTTATCGCGACACCACTCGCCTAAGGTCTATATAAAACTCAACTAAGTTTTGAGTCGTCAAACATACTTATTGACAGTGTATTTGAGCCATTACTACGTGGATACGGAGTGTAAGAGGTAGCGGTAAGACGTAAGACTTTATGAGATATGACAAGCTTGTTTGCGAATAAATTGTATTTGATATTGAAACTCTCATGACCTCCATATGTTATGATAATTTCGTTTATTGTAAATGTAAAATACTTAATATAAGGGAAGCATAGTTACAGCTAACATACGATCGATGTTCGATAAAATTTGATGTCATGAGATAAAATGTCAATATTTTACATGAATACCGTTCAATAAGCAAAACAACGTGACATTAACGTAATGAACATAATCAGAATTCGCAAGTTCGAAATCGTTTTTAGGGGTTGTGGTAGGAACTATTTTAATAGATGAAATTCTTGCTAATATTTTATGATTTATCTTTGTTTATAAAATCATGAATCGACAAAGTCCACCATTGTAATTAGATGCTGTAACGAAGACATCTGCAAATTTTACTGCGTTTACGAATTTTATTGCGTTTATTTACTTATTTTATATTTCCGATATTTCAAATACCTCGTGTACGTTCCAATGTCTATGAAATTGGGACGACGATCAACTCCCCCAAAGTTTTTAGGGATTTTATTAACTACAGTTAACAAAATCCATAAAAACTAGTTTCATTCATAGCAAAGCGTTCG